CCCCCCCCCCCCCCCTAGTGCTTGATTATACCTGTGTGTGTGTGTGTGTGTGCGTTTTTGCACGCGTGTGTCCCCTTAGACCAACGAGAAGTACTGTCGAGATCTTGTTTGTCTCCCTGTCTTCCATTTGCAAGCCGAGTAGTCAATCAATGGATGGATTGATTTTTCGATTACTTCTGGTGACTTCGTGAGTGAGTGAAACGCGAATGGGACTCGATTATTTCTGTGAGTAGACTGAGAAGAGGTAGTGTTGGCGATAAGTGACGGGTGTCCGAAATGCGCAATCGTATGGTATAAGGAATCGAAGTACACTTTTTAGGGGCCTGTGACGGGGACTGAGTAGCAGTGATGTGATGATGAGAAGTGTGATGGGCTGGATATGGAAGGGGGGAGAGGGAGGGGAGCAATAAAGTAGGGCGTCAAAATGTAAAATATTGAAAGAAAATTTAATTAAATTCACCTTTTCAGTGAGCATTATAGTCCGTGCTTTTGTAGACCGTAGGAAAGAGCGAAAATAAAACGGGACGAAAACCCTTAAATACAATAATTTTGCAAATCACGTGAGCAAAGAGTCTGCTGACCGATAGGTAAGAGGAATACAATGATGCAGTGAGTGAAATACCGTTTTGTATTGTGTTTGTGCGTGCGTGCGTGCTTGCGTGCATTCATGTGCAATAAGAGGGATAAATGGAGCAAAATAAATGCATTTAGTCAAACCCATGGTTCGTACACAACCACATGAGTAGTTTACTGGGCCGGTTGATTGACTGATTTGGTAATTGATCGATTGGTTGAATGATGTACTTCGTCTCACGATTTGAACTCTGTCCATTTACAGCCTCCACGTAATTTTTCCAAGCTGAGCTGAAAAGGACGGAAACAAAAAATAGCAGAACATATGTGAGCTAATTGGGACCACAGTCAGGGACTATATGTCATTTTTACTGTTGAGCAATTTAGTTGATAAACATGTAACGGAAATAGAGTAACTATATTTCTTTTATTACGTAATCTTTTTAGGTTCATGATAGCTCATAGAATCGTTATCGAGGTTCTTAAACTAACACTTGATACTTAGTGATTCTCATTGATTAGTAACTTAAATTTGTTATCACCAGAATTATTTCTCATTGCCTGTACTGCTTCCTTATCATTTTCCAGGCTTGGACGACAAGGGTTGTACAGCGTTTGCAGTCTTTGAAATTCTTATCCAAATCCAGTGACGAACTATGTTAGGACCTAGCAAGTTTCACTTGGATACTTGAGACCATTCGTTAATTTTCCAGTTCTATTTGCACCCTGATCTCTTTAAGTGTCTCCGACTTTTGTAACCACTTTAAATACAGCACTCCAAATCCCCAGACGTTAGGAGCTGTATGTACGATATTTTTGTCTTTTTCATTTTTGGTTTCCTTTTCTTCAGAATTTCGTAATTCCTCATTTAAGAAGTGCAAATCCTATTTGAGATGAAAATTATTCTGGAATTTTCAGTAGGGAAATCGGAAGACAAAAGCACCTGACCATCAATTAACTGAAAATTTTGGATATACAACCTGCAGACAGAATGAAACCTTTTTTGTCCAGCTTGTCAACAGACGAGCGAGGTGGAGTCGCGTTCATGTACTGTACGCGTGAGTCGTGTGAATGAAATGTGTCAAAATACAATGTGTGTGCGCACACATACACGAGCGTGTGCATTTGTGCGTCCCCCCGTGCGTGCGTGCGTGCTAAAAAAATATTGAACCCGAACGAATGGTGTTGCCGAGAGCCTAATATATACCGTCTGCGAAAATCTATAAATAGGGGAATGACAAAGTGAAACATGGTTGTTTAGGAAACCACGAATGACAAACTGGAAGAAGTGAGA